ATAATATATGATAATATATGATAATATATGATAATATATGATAATATATGATAATATATGATAATATATGATAATATAGAATAATATTGAATAATATTGAATAATATTGAATAATATAGAATAATATAGAATAATATAGAATAATATTGAATAATATTGAATAATATTGAATAATATTGAATAATATTGAATAATATAGAATAATATAGAATAATATAGAATAATATAGAATAATATACAATAATATATTAATAAATGTTTATTTATGGAATTTAATGGAAAAATAATTTGAAAAATTAAAATAAAAATAAATAATTAAATTTATTATATATATATTATTATATATTATATTAATTTAATTATTTTTAATTTTATTTTAGGTAAATATAATATTTTATAATATAAATTTAAATTTATAATTAAATTAATATATATAATTAAAAATATATATAAGGAAATAAATAATAAAATAAAATAATTATATATATATATAATTAAAAATATAAAATATTTATATGTTTATTTAAATTAATATATTTAAAAAATAATAATAAGGGATATTGATATTAATAATATAATTTAAAAATAAATTGAGGTCGTAAAATGAAAATATATGGAATATATTTTAATATAAAGAATATATTTAAATATTATTAAATAATAGGGATACGGATGGGTTATTAATAACATGATTCGGATATGGAACGGAGGGATATGAAATGAAATAATTTTGAATTTTAAAAATTTCTAGTTAATTCTTTTGGTGGAAAATTCAAAATTTAATTAACATTTTTTATTGGAATAGAAATTAATTATAAACACGGTATTTATTATCTTTCAAAAATCCAAATATATTTTAAATTATAAATTATTTTAAATTATTTTATAATAATAAAAATAAAATATATTTATCGTATTTCTTTATTATATATTTTCTAAATATTAAGAAATTTATTAATCCTAAACCAAAATATATATAAAATAATATATATATAATACAAATTAAATATATTAAATAATAAATAAAATATAAATTAAACAAAATTCATAAATATATTCAAAAAAAAACATAAATATATTTCAAATATTAAATTAATATACATCCAAAATATTCAATTATTAAAAT